CCAAGTAAGTAGTTTCGAGGGTAAAATTGGTAATTCGAAAGGGAGAAGCGTAACCAAAGAAAATTAGGGCAACGTGGGGCATAAAAATTTTCAAATTTGAAAACAAGAACTATACTTATAGTACACAGCAAAACTCACATTTAACTACAGTAAAACTGTAATTTAAGTTGCAGAAACCTGACAGAATTCTGAAACGAACTATGGAAAACTGTCGGAAAACTGTAGTTTGTCCGAAAAAAGTGGTACTTTTCGCACAGTTAAACTACAGTTTTTCGTACTTATAATGCAGTTTAAGCATGTTTTTTTGTACTTTAACTGGAGTTTCAGAACACTGAAACTACCATATAGACACACTTGAAACCGTACTTGTGACTTAGACTCGCATGCACTCTATCTGCATTATAAGTTGGGAAAAAACTTAGAAAACTGATGCAGTCAAAAGTGTAGATCCTTCCACCCGGGATGATTTCTTGCAAAATCTGGGCGCTGTAGCTCAAACGGTTCTGGAGATATGTGCATGTATAGTTTCTAATTAGGCTATAAATTTGGCGACTTTTCAATAAAATTCGCGTAAAACGACATTCAAACACAACAGCAGCTAAAACAAATCCCAAACCCTATCTGGGGGTGCAAACAATTGCACTGTAAAGCGCCATTGAAATCTAATTGTATCACTGGGGATAAACTTCTCTTGTAAGCTTTTATTTAAAACTACGTTCCGGCATAACACACCCATGTGCAGGTGCAAAAAAAAAAAAAAATAACTATCATCGGAATGTGGTGATTAGGCCTTCTAATGTACCCGAGAAAACCGCTTACGCAAACAACACACGGTAAAAACGAGTCCTGGGATTCCCCCAGGAGAGTTGGAACCCCAGTGGATGCCCTGGAAAAAAGCAATTGTTCCCAGGAGAGCTACTGGGAAACCCAGGACAACCCCTGGGAAAATCGCACGTTTCCAGGGCATCCGCTGGGGCTTTCCAATTCCCCTGGAAAATGCAGAAAACTCCTGGGAATCCCAGGGCTTGTTTTCACCGTGCACGCTGTCGCAGACACGACAGAAAATAAGACATCAGTACTCACTACAATATAATAATCACAGTGTCCAAACG